GGTTCCAAGTTCAAAGCCAGCCTCAGCAACTTAGCAAGACCCTATGCAATTCAGCGAGACCCTGTCTCTATAAATAAAATATTTTAAAAGGACTGGGGATGTAGCTAAGTGGTTAAGCACCCTGAATTCAATCCCTGGTACCAAAAGAARAAAGAAAGAAAATGCTGTTATTTCGGAAGTGGGTTTCAAAATTAAAAATAAAAAGTGGTGGGGATGCAGCTCAGTGTTAGAGCATCCCTGAGTTCCACCCCTAAGACCAGGGGAAAGAAAGACTCAGTGCATAAATGAGCAGAAAAGAGGAGCAGATAATTCAGCTGGGACAAAGTGCAAGCTTGATTTCAGTCCCGTTCCAGATAGAACATTATTTGACTTTCCTAAGTGCTGCCAGCTCCCCTGGTCCCAGCATCCCCCCCCCACCTTTCTCCCTGCTGTGCTTCATCAGTGTAGTCATGGGAGACTTTGCAATGGAGACCCCTTCAGTTGAGGCCCCCACACTTACATGATCAGCCACATTGGTGCAGCCTCCTGCATGAATGAGGGCCCGGCACATGTCCTCAGAGCCACCAAGAGCTGCGTAGTGGAGGCAGCTCAGCCTTTTCTAGAGGGAAGGAGGCATCAGTGCAGTGTCACAGGTCCTCCCAACGCGGGGTTGACATAGCACTCTGGGATCCATCTGCATCTCACAACCTGCGGGGGCTGAGGGCAGACATCAGGAGAYGTGGCTACCTGGGTGAGGGCATTCACATCGCTCCCGGCCCTGAGGAGCAGCTGCACACAGTCGGGGTGCACTCCTTCAGCAGCCGCATGCAGAGCTGTCAGACCTTCCTGAAACACACAAGGGTGGGTGAGGATGGTGGGGAGGCTGAGGCCAGACCCCAAGGTGACAACCCTGTGCCATGGCTCCTAGGCCCCGTGGATGCTCCACCACCCACTACTGAGGACGAGGGTCTTGGTCATTTGTGGCATCTGAGCCTGCACCTGATACTCTCACTGTGTGAAGCATGGATGGGGCACCTCAGTTCTCTGCTCCACATCTCTCTTCAGGTTCTCTCACTCTTCAAGCCATTGCAGCCCTAGCTTCGTCTGTTTCCTCCCACTCAAGCCAGGAAGTCCTCCCTGACCATCCTAGCCAACGTCCCTCCTGTGGAACACACCTGAGTAGAAAGTCATGGTAGCCCATCATGCCTTGCTTCCACCCAGCCTGGGTTCTGGCTGTGGTTCATCTTTTCATAATTTGCTTTTTTCTGAGATCCTACGCTCAGCTTCCAGGCTTCAGGGCCTCAACCAGGGGGAAATAGCCTGCTCCACAGGCTGGGGTTCCTCAAAGGTAAGAAGCCAGTGAGTAAACCACATCTCTGCATCCCCTAGGTGGTGACTCACCACATTCTGCTCCTCCAGGTCCAGCCCGATGTCCACAAGGCGCTGCAACACAGCCATGTGACCCTGGCTAGCAGCCAGGTGAAGGGCTGTGTTCCCCTCCTGTAGGGAGAAGAGCACCGGATATCCACAAAGCATTGCAAYACAGCCACGTGGCCCTGGCTAGCAGCCAGGTGAAGGGCTGTGTTCCCCTCCTGCAGGGAGAAGAGCACCAGAGAGGCCTGTAGACATGGAGCCCTGGAGCCACACAGAGACTCACAGGATCCCAGCAGCACTGCCCCTCAGAAGTGACATGTCTAGGATCATAGGACAAGTATGTGACAAAGTACAGCCTATACTCTGGACCAATGCCACACTGTTCCCAAGAAATGTGTCAAAAACTACAACCAGGGCACCTTCAAGGGCAAGTCCTTACACTTCAAGGCAGACACATTGCTTTCAAAATAAGTTGAGCATAGTGGTGCACACCTATAATTCCAGCTACTTGGGAGCTTAAGGAAGGAGGATTGCAAGTTCAAAGTCAGCCTCAGCAACTTAGCAAGGCCCAAAACAAGTTGGTGAGACTCTGTCTCAAAATAAAACATTAAAAAAAAAAAAAAAGGCTGGGGATTTGGTTTAGTAGCATCCCTGGGTTCAATTCCTGATACCAAAAATAAAATAAATAAAAATTTAAAAGGCTAGGGATATAGCTCAGTAGTAGAGCACCCCTGGGCTCAATCCCCAGTATGATATGATATAATTAATTAATTAATTAAAATCAACCCTACTTCACCCATATCCACCTAAAGCCAGTTGCCCCAGGTACCCAAGCCTGTGTTCAGAGACAGATAGGAAGCAGGTAAACCATGAGGAGCCCACATATACCCCCAATTAGCAGGGTGCAGAGATGATTGTGGGGCTTTCTTCTTTCTTCTGGATTATAAACACCCACATTCTGCTCTCCAAAGCTACAAGTACATTCAGAGACTGCCTCACAGGGAGTTTTTCCACTTTCCTGGGGCAGGGCAGGGGAGCTGGGCAGAAGGTGGCCTTAGCCTTGGGCCTGATGCCCTCTTCCCCCACCTGGGGGATGCCCAGCCTCTTTGCCTCTGTGTGGCCTCATCAGCAACATCTGGTCACTCCAAGTGGCCTGCAGCACCTCTGGATCCTCACTTCAGCAGGTGTGGCTGACCTGTGCTGTCCTTAACTCTGAGATCCGTTCTCCTCAGCAGACCACAGGGTCCTAAACTTTGAAAAGCACCCCTCCCCAAATGAKATTCAAAATGAAAACACTTCTAATCTGAAAAAACGAAACTTAACTGGGGTACGCAATTCTAGAAGCTGCTTTCCAGAATTTCTGATTCTGGATGCATTCGCCATAGCTAGATATTTTTTTTTAATTTTTAATTTGTAGATGGACATAATATCTTTCTTTAAATTTATTTTTATGTGGTGCTGAGGATCGAACCCAGTGCCTCAGGCATGCTAGGCAAGCACTCTACCACTGAGCTACAACCCCAGTCCTCATAGTAGATTTTTCTCATCTGAGTTTGATGCTTCTGTTTTCCTGGGGCCCTGAGGTTTTGCCTCCAAGGTGAGCCTGTCCTGCAGGGAGCCCCCTTTCCTTTATCCCTTCCTTTATCCCTCTGTGTTCCCAGTTCCTACCACAGAGCAGGACCTGCTCAGCCTGTCTTTTCAGAATAAAGGAAACCAGTGTAATCTGAGTCTCTTATCCTCAAAAACTAAACGTGGACAGGTCCAGTGCAGACTCCAAGGGTTTGATGCCTTAGGAGGCAGCCTRGTGAGTGAGAGGAACATAGGGCAGGAGCTGGGCAGAAGATGCTATTTTCAAAACCCACACTACCTTTATCTTGCTGTGGGACCTTGGCTAAGGCATCTCCCCCTCTGGGCCTCAGGTTCCACAGCTGTAAAAGCAAGAAAGCTGCACTGACCCTTAATGAAGACCCCTTCCAATGCCAAGATCCTGTGGTGTGTTTGTCTGTGAGCTCTCTGTCGCTACTTACAAACAGAACTCCTTTAAATCCTGGCCAAGCACACCAATCAGAATATGCATATATTATTAATCAGAAGATTAATAATGGAGCTCCTCCCTTTGTTGAAAGCATTGTTTAGAATTTTGCCCAATGACTCACAATGGCCCACCGATATGAGTCATTTTCAGTGTAGTCTCCCCTTCTCAGCTTGGTGAAATCCTGCTGGTAAGCTCTGCACCCTGAGTGAACTGCTGCCATTCTATGTTGCCACAACCATGGCAGATGCATGGCTACCACCCCCCATCTCCTCCCCACATCCCAACAGTAGACAACCCACTCCAGTGGAATAACAATCCTGCTCAACACCCTCTAGACAGCACCACCAACCAATCAGATTTGCCATTCTGATTCCCTGACAGAATGACAGTCCCTTCCTAGGACTATGGTGTGGATTTCCTCCAATAAGAAACTGCATGTTGGCCATCTTTGTGCCTCAGCCCATAGCACAGGGTGGACCCACAGTATGTGCACTGAAGTGCTTGCTGGGTGAACATCAGACACACTCTGATCTGTCTCTGGATACTGCCCCCCAGCACAGCTGGAGTCAGAAGTAGGCACAGGAAGCGGGGCACGGTAGCACACGCCTGTTATCTCAGTGGCTCAGGAGGCTGAGGTAGGAGGACAGCGAGTTCAAAGCCAGCCTCAGCAAAAGTGAGATGTTAAGCAACTCAGTGAGACCCTGTCTCTGTATGAAATACAAAATAGGGCTGGGGATGTGGCTCAGTGGCTGAGTATCCCTGTTCAATCCCCAGTACCAGAAGAAGAAGAGGAGGAGGAGGAGAAGGGGGAGGAGGAGGAGGAGGAGGAGGAGGAGGACCACAACGACAACAATGAAGACATAGGTGAGGTACCAGAGCCAGGAAGGTGACAGGAGGTTTTGCATCCTGGTCAAAGCCCAGACTTCATAGTCACAGTACCTTGTCTTTGACACTGTGGTCACAGCCAGAGCCCACGAGGAAGTCCAGAGCATCCAGCTGCCCGTGCTCAGCAGCCCTGTGAAACGCGGTCCTTCCCAGCTGGCCAGGACAAGAGAGAGAGTGACCTTCCTCACCCTGTCAGTGGGCATGCCCATTCTGCCCACTGGCCTCTGCTTCCCGACCTCTCCGGGCTTGCAGTGGCCTCTCCTATCCAGATGTTCTCCCCCTTACTGCCCCTTGCCCCACACACTCTGCATGGAAAAGCCTGGACCTCACTTCCCAACAAGGGCCACTTGGGGAGAGGGTCTCCCACTGCAATCCTTTGGTGGCTCCCTGCTGCCTACTAAATGAAGAACAGATTCCTGAGACTGGGGTAAATATCTCCACTGGGGTAGATATCCCTCCCATCTCACCTCAACCCACCTTCCTTCCCAAAATTCCAGTCCATCTGAACTCTGGGGCTCCCCACCCCTTCCAATCTTACCCCAAATCCAACTCCTTCAATGCCACCCTCTCCAGGACACAGCAGCAGGGCTCCCTTCTGTGCCCTGTCTAGTCCTTATCAGGGCCTTTCTGAGGCAACTGCTCATGTTCTGCTTCTATCCCACCCATTTGTGTGCCCCCAGACCAGTACTCCAGGTGGGACACAGTCACCCACAGATCAAAGGATGCACTCCAGAGTGCAGTAAGCCTCTAGGGCACAAGTGGCTCCAGGAGCCCCAGCCCATGGGAGGGAGGAGTGGCCTTGCCGTTCTCACCTTGTCTGCGTGGTCCAGGGCCACGTCCTCCAGGTCCTCCATTATGAACGCCAGCACAGGCACATGGCCTTTTTGGGCTGCGCAGTGCAGCAGAGTCAGGCCATCCTAGAAACAAGCCTAGGGTGGGCCCTGCTGTCTGAAAAGGGAGGCCTTTGGCATACCTGCCTGTCTCCCAGAACCCAGCTTTCCCATGGAAGCCACATGGTAAATCAGGAATGGCCCCAGGCTGACCCACTGGGGCAGCCACTCAGCCTCAGCTGGGCTGGTAGGATAAGGTTGCCAGAGGTCAAACTCCAGCRTCACACCCATCAGCTCTGTGGTCTTGGGCCAGTTGCTTCTATCTCTCTGAGCCTCCATTTGTGCACAAGTCAATTAGGATGATCGGGTTAGAACACTACTCGGCATTGCCTACAGGAAAAGTATTTTATAACTGAAAAATGATTTTTAAATGTAAGGTGAGGTCATACAGCACTCACTGTTCCCAAAACATCCACCACAGAATAGTTGAGAATGTTCTAGGCCTTTGTCTCCCTTCATAGAGTTACAAATGAAGAAGCAAGTGACTAAGGGCTCCCTGTATTCAGGTAACTAGGAGCTGACCTCTGGTGTGCAGGAACTAGAGGAAGTGGCCTGGTTACGGGGAGGGAAGAGGCAGGAAGGTCTCTTGAGTTCAAAAGCAACATTTAAATGAGAGAGATTGCAAATTCTATGCTCATGATCCAGAGCTCCTACCCCTGCCTGTACCAAAGCCAGATTATTTGGAACATTGTTTATCAAATAGTAGATTGCGGTCCATCAATGGGTCATAAAAATCAACAGAACAATCGTCTACATCTTGATGGCGTCAAATCTCAGTGAGTATACTTTTTTATTTGTGTATTTCATTGTATATAAGGAAACTGAATTCCAATGATATGCTTGCTGAAGTATTTAGAGGGAAGTGCATTGAATTTACTTTGAAATGTATCCAAAACACATAAAGAACTCTAAAAATTCACCAGTGAGGAATTAAACAATCCAATTAAAAATAATTTGACTGTGGAAGTGCCTGAATGCTGAGTCCCCACACTTACAAGGTGGAAGGACTGCTGGAGCCCAGGAGTTCAACACCAGCCTGAGCAATACAGAAATCTCATTTCTCTCTCACACGCACGCAAATACCTGTGGCACACACCTGTAATCCATCTATGTAGGCAGCTACAGCAAGAGGATCTCAGATTCGAGGCCAGCCTGGACAATTTAGGGAGACTTTGCCTCAAAATCAAATTTAAAAACAAGGCAGACGTGGTGGTACACACTTGTAATCCCAGTGACTCAGGAGGCTGAGGCAGGAGGATCTAGAGTTCAAAGCCAGCCTTAGCAACTTGGCAAGGTCCTAAGCAACTCAGAGAGACCCTATCATAAAATGGGCTGGAGATGTGGCTCATAGGTTAAGTATCCCTGAGTTCAAGTGCCCCTGGGTTCCCTGGTACCAAAACTTAAAGTGGGTGCAGTGGGCTAAGGGCATAGGTTAGTGTTAGTTAGAGCATTTGCTTAGCTTGAGGGAGGCCTTGGGTTTAATCTCCAGCACTATAAAAAAAAAAGGGTATATAAAGAATAATTTAGAAGAAACTGGATCAGTCTTATTATTTTGAAAGGAGATAGCAAATTTACATTTGAAAAATTATCTGACATTATTAGTCATTATTGGAATGCAAATTAAAACCACAAAATAGATCCTAACAATAGAGCATGAAAAGGGAAAAATGCTGACTTTATAATAGAGAAAACTACCCGATGCCACCTTCACCAGAGAATCAAGGTCAACATCCCTAGTGATAAGTAATGTTGGTATCACAAAGCCCCTAGTAAGACAAGACGAGAAGGGCATTGCTCTGTGGCCTTCAGCCCAAATTTATGAGTAAAGACTGATGATGAGGAAAACATCAGATAAACCCAAATTGAAAGGCATTCTACAAAACACTTGACTGCTACAAATATGCCAAGGTCATGGAAAGCAAAAAAAAAAAAAAAAAAAAGCTGAGAAGTTGCCACAAAATTGGAAGACACTAAACAGGTAAGATGACTAAATGCATTATAGGATGTTAATAAAAAGCAGGTGAAATGTTAATATATCCTAAACTACTTTAAAATGTAGAACTGTGCTACCCTTCTCATCAAGAGGGAGAATCCAAGTCAGTATTTTCCTTCCCTTGGACCTAGGCTGGTCCTGATGGGCTCTGGCCCACAGACAATGGTAGAAGTGATGTCATGTGGCTTTTCAGCYTTGGTCTCAAGAGACCTTGCCTCTTCTGCTCTTGCTATTTTTCTGCCCCAAGGCAGCCATACAGGAAATCCAGGCTGGGCAAGGTGAGGATCAGTGACCACCTGAGAAACTGGGTCACTACTCTAAACATCCCAAACTTCCTTACAGAGGCCCTGACACGTGGGTGAGATCCTCCAGAGCCAACCAGCCTCAACCACCTGCCCGCTGCCTGCAACCTCATGGGGGAGCCCAGGCAAAGCCAGAACTTTCCAGCCAGCCTCAGAATAAGAAGTCATTATTGCTTTAAGACATTACGTTTTTTTTTTTTTTCATAGTCCTAACTATTTTTTTTTTCAAGAGAGAGAGAGAGCGAGAGAGAGAGAATTTTTAATATTTATTTTTTAGTTCTTGGCGGACACATCTTTGTCTGTATGTGGTGCTGAGGATCGAACCCGGGCCGCACGCATGCCAGGCGAGCGCGCTACCGCTTGAGCCACATCCCCAGCCCGACATTACGTTTTAAATAGATTTGTTGCCAAAACCAGAACATAAAATAGAGGGGATCTGCTTGACTAGAAGAACCCATTACTCAGAACCCCACCCTCCATATACACCAAGACACCCCCCATTCTAGAATACTGAGGCTCATTTACAACTCCAGCAAATCTATCAGGACAGCCATTGGACTCCCCAGGGCTACTGAGATCCTCGAAGCCATGCTGGGCCAGGCAGGCAGGACTAAACAGGAGGACTCTGAGCTCGAATGTGGGTATCTTCCCAGGGCGCTCTTCTGAGGCTCCTCACTCCCACACTCCAGCTCCAATCCTGTGACCCAGGAATATCCTTCCCAGAAGTTGTCAGTTGTGCCCACTGCCACTGGCAAGATCCTGACAATGGCATGAGCCAGATTTCATATGTGCCATGGCCCTTTTTGGCACTTGGTGAAGCCTATGGATTTTCTTAGTGTAATGTTTTCTTAAATACATAAATCATTTGGGAAAAAAAGTTCAATCAAATACACAGGCTTACAATGATGTATTAGTTTCCTATTGCTGCTATAACAAATTATTATAAATTTAGGGGATTAAAATAGCACAAGTTTATTCTCTTATAGTTCTGAGATCAAAAGTCTAAAATTGGTTGGCAGGACTACATTTCCTCTGCAAGTTCTGGGGGAATCTGTTTCCTGGCCCTTTCCAGCTCCTACAGGCTACCTAAATCCCTTGGGTCATGACCTGCATCACCCCAATCTCAGCTTCCTTCATCATACCCTCCCCTGACTCCCTGCTTCCTCCCTCCTTCCCCTACAAGGACCCCTGTGAAAGCATTAGACCCCTGTGGATAATCCAAGATAATCTCCCTAACTCAAGGTCTTTACTTTAATCGTATTTGCAAAATTCTTTTTGTCGTGTTAGGCTCTGGGGTTCACAGGTTTTAGGGATTAAGATACTGACATCTTTGTAGGGGGGCATTATTCTGCCTGTCATAAGAGAAAACCAATTCCACTGAAATATAGTTATCAAAATATTAAGAACGAGTTTTCAATCTAATAACATTTATGCTTCTTTACTGATACATTAAACAATACCATTAGTAAAGAGTCTGATTACCACCATAATTTTAAAGTAATGATGAATGTAAGGAGTATCTTTTAAAATATTTTTTTTAGTTGAATATGGACACAATACCTTTATTTTATTCATCTTTAAGGGGTGCTGAGGATCAAACCCAGGGCCTCACACATGTGAAACGAGTGTTCTAGTGTTCTACTGCTGAGCCTCAGCCCCAGCCCAAGAGTATTTTAATATAACTGCAAAGACTTTAATTAATATGAAAACAACTACATTTTCTATCATTGAAAGAAATTTTAGATTTTCAAGTAGACATTAATGAAAATAAATATGCACTTTTTGGATCCAACTTTATAGGTCCTCTGAATTCTCTCCAAGGACCTATGTTTGAAAATTCCTGGCCAAAGGCATTTGGAATATGGAGATATTTGCATTTCCTGAAGGGCCAGCGCACTCTAAAAGGTAAGAGACCAGGGGAGGGTTCCACATACTCTGACCTGCTGGGGCCCTCCTCCCTGAAACCACACACACACACCAGTCAGCCATGAGGGCTGCCAGGTTCCCTAGGGTGCCAGCACCCAGTCTTGTATGTTATATGCAGCACTGTGCTGGCTTCTCCCTCAGTTCCAAGGTGTAATAGCATCCCTGGGGCTTGGGATGTGGCTCAAGTAGTAGCGCGCTTGCCTGGCATGTGTGAGGCTCTGGGTTTGATCTTCAGCATCACATAAAAATAAAATAAAGATATTGTGTCCACCTAAAGCTAAAAAATAAATATTAAAGAGAGAGAGAGAGAGAGAGAGAGAGAGAGAGCGCATCCCCATTATCTAAGAGGAAAGCTGAGGTTCAGGCCGATAAAGTAACTCACTCAAGGTCCCGGGGTTGGTAAATGGGGTCCTTCCATCCCACCACTGAGCACAAGGTGAACCCACCTCCCTTTTCTTTCATCCTCCTAAATTACCCTCGGGGCGGGGGTGGGGGGTTGTTGATTTCTCTCCTATAAATAAGGAAGCCAACCAGAGGGCTGAGAACTGTCCCAGCATTACAAAGTAGTAAGAGGTGTGGGAACCAAAAGAAAAAGCCTGTCACTTTCCCTGCTGTTGCTGCTGCTGCTGCTGAAAACACTGGAAGCTCCTCCACACCTTTCTCCCAAGCCCCAGGGGAAGCAGCCCCCTTGGAATGAGCTCAGCACAGCTTCTGGGGGGTGGGGGTCTCAGAGAATGGGGCAAGTTGGGAGCTGCAGAGGCAAGAAGGGACAGAGTCGGGAGCAGATCTGTGTGTCTGAGGTCAGGGGGAGCCAACCTCAGAGGGCAGGGGCTGCAGGCTGGGTCTTACCTTGTTCTCACAGTGGATCTTGGCCCCAGAGTTGACCAGGATCTGGAGGATTCGCAAGTGACCAAACCAGGCAGACAGGAGAAGCGCGTTCATCCCAAACTGGGGGAAAGGACAGAGAGGTAAGGAGAATGAGGAGGCGTGGCCATGCCAACTGGGGCCCTGCATCTACATGGCCAAACCGTACAACCATAAGGATTGTCAGTGCCACTCAGTTACAGAGAGCACCAAGCTTTAGGAACTTAAAGACCAGGAAGTTTTGGGGGATTATTTTGCTAGATCAAATCTAAAAATGAAACAGCTACCATCTACTCTCATCATTGTTCTATAAGGAAGAACCATTTTTTAAAAATATGAAAGGAGCCAACCTCAGAATATATTCATTATAATCCAGAGTCATGAAAAGCATATGATTTTGTCCTTATTGTCTGACCTGATGGCTGGTGAAGACCTCACCTGGGACTGAGCCTGAGAATCACTGTTGAAATCTTCCTAGAACATCCCCCAGGTGATAGCTTTGTGTGCAGCACTACCTGCCTCACAAGACAGCCACACACGGTCAGACACCGCTGTCAGACACTCCTAGCCCTGTCCTGCAGTTGGCACTCTGGCCCCTTTCACCCCGTGGTCCCTCTAAGCAGCTGGAAATAGGTTGATCACCCATTTGAGGGCTGCTTTAACTCCACTTCTGAGTGCTCCAGGGTCATCTCCAGGGACCTCAGCCATGTTAGGGGCCCTGCATGGTCAGGACAGTCTTGACCACATCACTTCTGGGTCTTCTCTTGGAAATGGGGCCAGGGTTGTGGGGAGGGGAGATGTTGCTACCACACCCCATCCTCAGCTAGTAATCAAGTCCCCCTCATGGTGGGACCTGGGACCAGAGAGAATCCAGAAAGGAAAGAAGTATTTCCAGATGCCCAACTACCTGTGAGGCTGAGACAGGAGGACTGCAAGCTCAAGGCCAGCCTCAGCGAGTTAGCAAGAACCTGTCTCAAAATAAAAATAAAAAGGGCTGGGRAACATAACTCAGTGGTAGAGTACGTGCCTAGCATGCACAAGGCCCTGGGTTTGCTCTCTAGCACTGAAAAAACAAAAACAAAAAACAGTGTTTCCATGGACAACTAAATCTCTGCAGGCAAATTTATGATCTTTTTAGAAAATTTAAATTTATATTCATTCTCTCACCTCACACCCGATCCACCACCACCACCAATACAAGGGATTGAACCCAGGGCTTTGCACAGCTCGCTACCACTGAGTTACACCCCCATGCCTAAATTTAGGTTCTTAAATGTATTCTTAGGAAATGTCATTATCAGATTCAGCTGGATCCTCAAACCTGTAGAGCTAATTTTGCAGATGTTAGCCTTCAGTGCTTTCTTTTTCTCAACAATGGTGCTTCCTGTTCATTTTCTCAGTAAGACCATTAGTCTCTCTGCGAGTCATTGGTTAAAGTGTTAGCCAGGGCGGGGCTGTGTCCTGCCATGACAGACCTTCTTCCTGGTGACTTTTATTGGCCTTTACCAACACCCAATTATCTGTTCTATAGCCCACAGCTCTCCCTGTCCTCATGGTATCATAAGGGACTGAGAAAGGCTCTTAGAACTGAAAGGCCCTTGACAATGGAGAGCTCTTTATCACTGTGCAAGGGAAAAATAGAATCGATGTGGTTTCACTAAGCCCTGAACCTGGCTCCCCACCAAGCACCTGAATATCAGTGACAATCTCAGCAACTACAACTGGCTTACACAGACCCAGAGAGATCCTGGGATCTCTGCCCTAGCCTGAGACAGACAAGACACACAGACACGCCTCCAAGAGGGACCCCTACCGCGTCCTCATCATCCACAGCAGCCTTGTGTTCCAGGAGCAGCCGCACAGCCTGCTCATGACCTGCACCCGCAGCCCAGTGCAGGGCCACCCTGCCCACCTGCAGGAGGGAGAGGAAACTCATCACTGTCGCCCTCCATACCTGCCCCACCAAGAAAACTGGTCTGCAGGCTGAAAGGGCCTTTTGCTGGCTCTGGTGACCATCTGGCTGAGGACCCCGCCCCACTTTAGCCCCACTGTCCCTGACAGCAGAAGGCAAAATAAACACAGTAAGACACAATGACTGCGTGCTTCTGTCTCCACCTAAAAGTCTCCACAGCTTCTCACTGCTCTTGGGACAGACTCCTAACCCTAGGGCCTACAGGATTGTGAGTGGCCTGGCAACGTACATCACTGCTTCCTCAAAAATGCCAAACAACTTCCCACCGCTAGACCTTTGTTCCTGCTAGCTGAACTTGAATTATTCCCCAAATCCCCAAGGCCTCCATCCCGAGTGCCTGGGGTTCTTCCCTCGGAATGGGGCTGAAAGGGCCTAACTGCCCACCTCATCCTCAGACTACCCTGCAGGTTCATCACGGGCTGTGGCCTCCGCATATCTGAGCTGGCTGAAGGTGGCCAGTTTCCCACCCAGAGTCTGCTCCTGCCTTCTGCAGCACTGTCCTCTCAGCTTATGAGGGGACAATGAACAGAAACACTGTGTGATCTCAGACAAGTCACATCTCCTCCCTGGGGGACAGGCTGTTCCTTCCTTCCTTCTTCCCATGCTCTTCCCTCTGCCTGGACACTGCCCCTCCTCACCTGGCTCCCGGAAGCTTGCCCTGACCCCTCTAGGTGGGCAAACCCCCTCTGACCCTTCTCCCAGTGCTCTCAGGACAGCTTTTCACAGTGGGAAAGGACTTCAAGATGCTTTGCTTAGTGTCTGTCCTCTCCACCAGTCCATTGGCTCCACCAGGGCAAGAACCATGTGTGTCATGGGTTCTATTCTGTCAGTAGCACCTAGCACAGGGCTGAGCAGAGTACACCTTAATAAATAACTTAATGAATGAATGAATGAGCCAATGAGTGTGCAAAAGAATGAATGAATTAGTGAATGTGGCGCTGGCATCCTATCATCCTACAAGGTCATGCTTCCTTGCATGTTGAGACCAAGGTTTCAGTCACCAACAACATGGTGTATGACCTAAAGTGACCTGTGGCCCGCTGCACTGCTTTGGACTATACACAGGGCTAGTACTTCCTGGCCTCCTTATCACTCCCAGGGGGCAGTGATAAGTGAAGACCACTAGGAAGGAAGAGGACAAGTGCTCTGAAAACCAAGATGTAATAGACACATCCCAGAACCCCTGTCACCATTATGTGCCCCAGGCTGCACCTGTCATGTCACCCCATATAAAGTGACCTCTTTCTGCAGTCAGGAATCCTGCCTCTACTCCTTCTAGCCAGGACCTGGCATCTTCTCCAAGAAGTTCCTAACAGTCAGAATTCCCAAGGCAGGGAGGTGTCTGTCCCTCATGTCCCCCACAGAAAGAATGGCTTCTCCCTCTTGTCCCCTTCACCAGCAAGGCTATGTTTCCCCAACTCCTGCATGCAGCATTCCCTTGGGCCTCTGTCCCTCCTGGAACCTGCACTCTGCTGCCCATGGGCCAGCCCCTGACTGTTGACCTTCAGCCCCCTGCCCTTCTGTGGCTCTAGCCTTTGTCCTAGGTGTGTCTTTCTGATGGGTAACCAGGATTCAGAGTCGTAGCTCTGGAATTGCCTAACAGTATCCTGACCTTAATCCCTACCACTCCAGAGTCTCAGAGGATGCAGACCCTGTACCTCCCGCCAAATTAGCACATGCAAAGCGTCTGTCTCCAGCTCAATGTACTGTCCCCCTGTGTGATGCTGTCACCTTGTGGGAGCCCATTACTTACGTGATTTCTGGCCCGGATGTTAACCCTCCTTCCCATCAGCTCCTTCATCTTCCCAATGTTGTTCTTTTGGGCGGCCTCATGGAGCTGCCTCTCCAGGGGAAGCACTGAGGGGAGAAAGTAAGTGGGTTGAGCGGAAGGGTCTCCTATATTTTTTAAGGGCTGCTCTTGGCCAGGTACAGTGGCACATGCCTGTAATCCCAGTGACTCAGGAGGCTGAGGCAAGAGGATTGCAAGTTCAAAGCCAGCCCCAGCAACTTAGTGAGGCCCTAAGCAACTCAATGTCTCAAAATGAAAAATAAAAAAGATCGGGGATGTGGCTCAGTGGTAAAGTGCTCCTTGGTTCTCCCAGTTCYGAGAAAGGGGGGGAAAAAGAGCTTCTCTTGGGGAAGGGGAATGGAATTCATTCCCAGTGGAGTCAGTAGCTCCAGTCTGCACAGCTCAGTCTGGTGCAGAAGGCAGCCAGAATTCCCTGTGTCAGCCTTAGGTGAGGCTGGAGGCTCATGGCTCCACTTCTACACCTTCACCTCCTGGTTCCACTCCTCATCCCCAGATCCCAGTCCTTCCACCTCTGCACTCTGAGGCCCACCCTGCTTTGCCTCCTCTGTGGTTTATTTTCTCCACTGTCACCCTGGTAGCTACGTCCTTATATCAGAGTCTCAGACTGCTGGGAACTCAGAGCTGCCCCTGCCAACCTGTCACAAGCATTGGGGGCATCAGTGCCACACAGCAAGTTAGCATCTGAGTTTGGAGAACACAAGGCTGGTGACATGGTCTGGGGCTCACCCCACCTAACCTCCAGAACTGCGGTCATCCTGACTGCTCTCAACTGTGAGACTCTGGTCTCCTTGGCTAGACCAGAAGCTTTTGGGGACCCCGGCCACTTCTGCTCATCCTGATCTACCCACAGCTCTCAGCAGACCCAAAGCTGGACACAGGAGAAATCTACAAAGCTTTGCTTCTATGAATCAGACTAATGAATGCCTGACCCTACTCTAGAAGGGCTCAGATCCACCATAACAGAGGACAAATATTTTCTAGACCTTTGCACAGTCACTCCAGGGCAAGTAATTTTGTGTTTATGTTGTTGCCAAACCCACATCCCACATGTTTGGACCAGTGTGAATGTTTGGATCCAGCCCTGGTGTATCCAGGGACAGGTGGTCATTCTCTTGACAGGGAAGGTTAGGATGCACTGAAGTGACAGGCCCGCCATGGAGTTGCTTTTCCAGATAAATTCCACAGCCTTCCAGATGTTGAAGAAAGTCTTGGGCTCTCTAGGTCCTCTTGGAGATAACTTGTGGGTCCCATAGTTTCTGTCTTAGGACCATTACATGGCCCTGGGTTCAAGTCTGGAGGAACCATTTCTAGCTGTTGTGACTTACGTTACTTAATCACCTGGTGCCTCAGTTTCCTCATTTGCAAAATGGGGACATGAAGTCTCCCCTGCAAAGTTCATATAATGATTAAAAATATATCTTGGGCTGGAGTTGTAGCTCAGCAGTAGCGCACTTGCCTGGCATGTGTAAGGCACTGGGTTCAATTTTCAGCACCACATACAAATAAATAAAGATATTGTGTATCCATCTCCAACTAAAAACAAAAATTTTTTTTAAAATTACCATCTTTACCACTATGTGCCCAAACCACCATCACCATCATCATTACCACTATTCCTCCAAGGCAAAGAGTCAGGGAATATTTTCTGTTGGCCCAAGACCTGGAGGTGCCTCCTTCACTTAGGGGCCCCTGAGTCAGTGAAGCCCAACCAAGGAAAGGAGTCCCTATTTACCTCCTGGCATCATTTCTTTCCATATGTTATTTTACATATTTATATTATCTACTTGCTCCTTTGTGTGTGTGTATGTGTGTGTGTGTGTGTGTGTGTGTGTGCATGTACTGGGGATTGAATCCTGGGCGCTTTACCACTATATATCTATCTAGCTCTTTTTTACTTACTTTTTTTTTAATTTTTTTTTTTTTAGTTTTAGGAGGACACAATATCTTTTATTTTTTATTTTTAAGTGGTGCTGAGGATCGAACCCAGTGCCTCATGCATGCAAGGCGATCGCTCTACCACTGAGCCACACCCCAGCCCCTTTTACTTACTTTTTATTTTATTTTATTTTTATTTATTCATTTTTTTTAAAGAGAGAGTGAGAAAGAGGGAGAGAGAGAGAGAACTTTAATATTTATTTTTCAGTATTTGGCAGACACAGCATCTTTGTCTGTATGTGGTGCTGAGGATCGAACCCGGGCCGCACGCATGCCAGGCAAGCGCGATACCACTTGAGCCACATCCCCAGCCCTTTACTTACTTTTTTAAAAAATTATATTTTCAGTTGTAGGTGAACACAATACCTTTATTTTATCTATTTATTTTTATGTGGTGCTGAGGACTGAACCCAAGTGCCTTACATGGGTTAGCAAGTGCTCCACCACTGAGCCACAACCCATCCCTCTTTTTTTAAATATTTATTTATTTATTTATTTAGGTGTAGATGGACACAACACAATGCCTTTATTTTTATGTGGTGCTGAGGACTGAACCCAAGTGCCTTACATGGGTTAGCAAGTGCTCCACCACTGAGCCACAACCCATCCCTCTTTTTTTAAATATTTATTTATTTATTTATTTAGGTGTAGATGGACACAACACAATGCCTTTATTTTTATGTGGTGCTGAGGATCCAACCCAGGTCCCGCCCACACTAGGTGAGCCCTCTACCACTGAGCCACAATCCCAGCACCCCATCCCTCTTTTTTATTTTTATTTTTTTATTTTAAGACAGGGTCTCACTAAGTCACCAGGCCAGCTTATTCCTTTTAACATAAGCTCATGACAAGAGAGATTTTTGTCTGATTTGTTGATATCTATAGTTCCAAATTTGTGCCCTGGTACAGATCTATTAAATAAATGTGTGAGACACAACTCATTCAATTTCCTGGAGTTGGAAGGTTGGCCTTTAGACTGTAAGATGTGCCCCAACTGAAATTCACTAGTCCCCTAGAAAAGTGAAATATAAGCTCAGGTTAACAGCAGGAAAGAAGCTCCGAGGGAAATGCAGCTTCACCCCAATACTTTAGAGGAGGGTATTTAAGAGAAATGCCACCTTCCAAGTGTGGTCTCCACTGATGGCTCCATTCTTCCCTGTCCCAAAGGGTCTGCCTTCCCTGCCTTCCCTGAAAACGTGAGGAGACCTTCTCAACATAGCATAACAGGCTTTAGAAGAATCTTTCTCAGATCCTAAAAATCTTCAACACATACTGTCCTGCACTTACTTTCTTACTTTTCTTTCTTTTTCTTTTTTTTTTTTTTTTTGTACTGGAGATGGAACCCAGGAACACTCTATCACTGAGCCACATCCCCAGCTCTTTTAATTTTTTCATTTTGAAACAGGGTCTTACTAAATTGCTGAGGCTGGCTTTGAACTTGCAATCCTCCTGCCTCAGCCTCCCAAGACCCTAGGATTACCGATGTGCATCACTGTGCCCAGCTGCACTTTTCTTTCCTCAACTTTTTGCCTGAAAACCACCATGACCCAGGTTCAGAGGAGCTAGCATTTCAGGTGTGAGCCAGCTGAGGGTGGGTTCCAGGCCCTACTATGCCACTTTCCAGCAGCACAATCCTGGGCTAGTCAATCCCTTTACAGGTCTCAGTTTCCTCAGTTGTAAAATTAGGGGACAGAAGAATCTATTCAGGTTCTTTCCAGTTTCTACACCCACTATCCTAGCTGAAGCTCAGGGGARTGGCCTGGTTTGTATTGACAAATAACCAAGAGTCCCAATGGGGAACAAGCAGACACTCCATACAGTGACCAGAGAAGCTCAATTGACAATGAAAGCAAGTTCTGTTTATCTCTTCCATTCACCTCGCCTCATGTACCCTCCTTCCAGCCACAGCAAATGCACACTATGCTCTCTGCCCACTGAGCCTTTCCCCATGCTCTGTCCTGCACCCAGAATCCTTCTCACATACTCCATTGCTACCCATGCTTTGAATGTGAGGCTCACTTGAGTTGAGGCCAGCTCCAGTGAGCTCTGCCCCAAGCAGAACCCCCTTGACACTTTGAAGAAGCCCACCACTCCCAACACCATCCCTCAGCTGAGTGGATAGTTTGCTCCATCATATGGAACACCAGTGAGCTGTACTATGAGGATTTAATGAGGAGCCCTTGAGTTCAKGTATCAGGGCTCAGCCAAGGGCTGCAGGATTGAGGCTTCACAGTGCAGATACTGGCGTAATCCCCTCCCCTCTCCCATGTAGCTCAGCCAAAGCTACCCCCAGGTTAGCTGGTGCCTCAGGAATATTACTACCCCACCTAGGAGTCCTGGCACTGGGCACACTTCTGGAGGAAGTCTCTGGGGTGCCCTCATCCAGCTTGGAGCTGGCCCCAGCTCCTCTCCTCTGGGTTTCAGCTTCCCCATTTGATATGGTCTCCATTCCCCATCCAACCCCAACATTCTGAGAAAGCTGGGATCGCCAGCATTTCTACCAATTAATGGCCATGTGACCTTGCACAACTTACTTAATGGCCTTRTGCCTCAGCTATCTCATCTGCAAAATGGAGATAACAATAGGTCCTACCTGTGCGGCTGCAGTGAAGATTAAACGTCATGCCTGACCTGCCTCAAGGCCCGGCACACAAAGCCAGTTCTCAGTAAGGATCTCTATTACCTTTATTCTGTCTAGCTAATGTCTCCTTGGCCRCAGCTTCTGATTGGCCAGATGGGTGGCGCCCCCAAGTCCCAGAGGTGCGGCCAATGCCCCCTTGGCCAGCTGTGCGTTCTGCTTGGAGCCATAAAGAAGCCCAAGACGGAGGTGGCCAGGCAGACCGCGTCAACCTCTCCCTTGGCCGCCCTACGCGAATGTCCGGGTCCTGTCGGCCCAGGCCCGCCGGAGTCACCCCTCCCGCGGCGCAGCCGACTCACAGCCGTGGGTCTCCCACGCCAGCTCCTCCTCCATCCCGCCGCCCCGCAGCGTTGTGCGCGGGTGCCCCGGCACGAGGCGCGCGTTCGCCGGCGCAGAGCCTGGGAGCACCGAGGGCGGATGCAGAGCCCGGGATGGGAGCGGCGCCTCCGGATCCTGCGCCCCTGCTACTGCTCCTGGCTGCTGCAGCAGGCGTCTGGTTACTCCCCCTCCTGCTTCCTCCCCCTCCTGCTTCCTCCCCCTGCCCACCGCCCGGCGCCCTTCCTACCAGAATCAAGCCCGACAGGGCACGCTGGGCTCAACAGTCCACCTGGGCGTGTCTGCCCCTGAGAGTTCGCCCCTCGCAAGGCCTCTGGCGGGCATCTCCCATGCCTTTGTCTGATCGCCCCCTGGATTAGAAAGTCAGACCCCTAAAGACTGGAGCAGGCATTTAAGGAACAGAAACCCCAACAAAGCCTGTGAGTCTGTGAAAACATGATCAGATTCATTTGTGATCAGAAAAATACAGGTTACAATGACAATGAGGTGTAACACCAATCCACTGGTAAAAATGAGAAAGCTGGATATGCCAATGTCAGTGGGAATGTAGAGCTTTCCCAGCTGTCGCACTGCTGGTGGACCAGCCCGAGGCTGTCATTCTGGAACAAAGTCTGGCAGTAATGAGGGAAATTCACAGTGAACTATTACTATGACCCTAAAATCTAATTCTTACATACAGAGCCTCCAAATTCCCTTTCAAGCCCCTAAACGGACACGTGGAAGAATGTTAGTTGCTGGATCACCAGGAGTTGGAGGCAACCTAAATTGCTCGACATTGGGAGAGTAGATGGGTAAAATGTGGCACTATGCAGCCTTAGAAGCAAGGGGCCAGGGCCTGCCTGTAATCTCAGCAACTCAGGAGACTGAGGCARGGGATAGCAAGTTCCAAGCCAGCCTTGGTAACTTGGAAAAACCTGTCTCAAATTTTTAAAAATGAAAAGGGCCAGAGATGTAGCTCAATGGGATTACACCCCTGGATTCAATCCCTAATACTCCTGCCCCCCCACACCCAAAAGCAGCAAGGGACCAGGTATGTTCATGGCAACATGGATGTAAACACCTACTGCTGGATGGAAAAATACCTGTAACACAACAGTAATAAAAATATTAAAAGTTTTAGCTGGGTGTGGTGGCCCACACCTGTCATCCCAGTGACCTGGAAGTCTGAGACAGGGGGACCACAAATTTGAGGCCAGCCTCAGCAATTTAGATAGGCTCTAAGCAACTTAGTGAGACCTTACCTCAAAATTTAAAAATTAAAAGGGYTGGGAATGTAACTCAGGGGTAAAGCACCCCTGGGTTCAATCCCAGGAACCAAAAAAATATATATATTAAATATCTAAAGAGTCAGGCACAGTGGTGCATGCATGTAATCTCAACTATTTGGGAGACTGAGGCAGGAGGATCACAAGTTTGAGGCCAGCTTCATCAATTTAGTGAGACCTTCAGCAATTTAGGGAGACCCTGTCTCAAAATAAAAAATAAAAGAGCTGGGTATGTAGCTTAATGGTAGATTGCCCTGAGTTCAATACCCAGAACCAAAAAAAAAAAAAAAGTACATGCCAAAATTTAAATTTTCAAAGACATACACAAACAAAAAGATACACATTAAACACATCAGAAGAGATTATATTTCAGACCAGTGGAGTGCCAGCTGCTATCCTTGATGTCTGTGCCCCTACATCTGCAGAGAAAAGAGGCTGCAACTTTATCACCCTCCTGCAACCACTGCTACCTGGGTACTATCCATAGTCCTCCTAGCTTTCTCTGTGGAACCTGGAGATGAGACCCAAGAGAATGTAAATGAGCACTGGAAAGACCTACAAGGAATGAGGCCTCTCACCAGGCACAGGCCTGCTCATTCTCCCCAGAGCAGCTGCCCTGGCCCAGGCTGAACCACACACACCTATTGCTTTTAGATCAGCCTAGAAGGCCCTATAGGCTTTCTCTAGTAGGCTTCTCCACTTCTGCTCTCAGGGCTCCTGCTCTGTAGCTTGGTAATGATGTATATCATTTCAAAGATGTTGGGGTTTGGGGGCACTGGGAATTGAACCCAGGGCTTCACCTTCTGGGCAAGCACTCTACCACTTAGCTATATACCAAGCACTTTTTTTTTTCTTTTTGATACAGGATATCACTAAGTTGCCCAGGCTGACCTCGAACTTTCAATTTTCTTGCCTCAGCTTCCGAGTAGCTGGGATTATGGGCTTGCATTTACCCTCTGACATCTTCTAAGTACAGATGTCAGAGTCACCCTGGTAAACATATCAAATACTACAAGCACATTGCTATTTGTTGTAACTCTACTGTAGTGACAACAGACTGGAAACAGGGCAAATGTCCATCCGCAAAGAGACAGGTTGAATAAGCCACACAATGGAGAGTTCTGAGGCTATAAAAAGGATAGAGGATGATCCTGACTATTGCTGGAGATCTCTGCAGTGGGTTGTATGAATAAATATCCAGAACAGGCAAATCCAAAAAAGTCAATGAATGGTTGCCTAGCCATTCTAGGGGCGGGAGTGGGAAGGGAAGACTACCTGAGGGGGTGGCTAATGGTTACATAACTCCGCAATACTAAAAACCACTGAATTGCACACTTATGTGGGTGAGTTGTATGATATGTGAATTATGTCAGTAAAGCCACTACCAAAAAAAATTCACAAAGCAAAAAGATTGTGTGTGGTATGCTACTGTAAAGAAAGGCAGAATATAGGATTGATTCAAACAGTATAAAGGCAAGCCACAAAAACAGTTATATGTCAATCAAGGGAGAAAATGACTTTGAGATTGTGGGTTTGGGATTTGTCATAGCAATTGTGAATGAAGCTGGGAAGAGAGTGATTAAAGGAATTGGGGATCAGAGGAGTCACTAGCCAGTCCTTCTAAGAAACCAAGTATGTACAGCTGCTGAAATGGACCCACAGGGAGGCTCATGGGGAGGTCTTGGGGATTGTTTCCACCACAGAGCCAATGTCTCCGGATCAGTCAGCATCTGTGGTGGCCTGGGGCCACTGCTGGTCAGCAGCCTCCTCAACTGGGAATAAAAATTGGATATGGAATGAAAGAGAATAAGAACAAGATGGAAGCCACTAGTCATCTCTCCATCCATCGCCACAGCCTTCCGAGACTCCTTTGAAACGGGTAGATAAGATGTCATGTAAAACAAAATTAACATTTAAAAGCATCTGAAAAGTAAAACAAAACATATAAACAATGTTTGTTGAGTTGATAGCATAACTACACAGTGAAGTGACTTTAAAACAATATTGTGACTTGATGCTCCTAGTAGGATGTAGCCAAATGATAAGAAAATTTGTTATTTATTTATTTATTTATTTATTTATTTATTCATTTATTTATTTTGCAGTGCTAGGGATTGAACCCAGGGCCTCACACATGCTAAGCAAGCGCTCTACCCCTGACCCACATCCCTAGTCCCAAGAAAAACTTTAAAAAATATATTTTCTAGAATTATCTTGTTGATTATTACATCAGAATTCTTATTCTGAAGCTGTTTGGAGCATGAATGAGAATTCTGTTGAAATTTTCACAGGAAAGTGGGATTTCCAACATAGGAGAAAGAAAACATAGATGTCATTTGATGATGTTCAATCAAATCCCGTTGTCTTGTCTTGAGTTTGAGTTGATACTTACGATGTGTATTATGGTTTGGACTTTAGGTGCCCCCACCCCACCCAAAACTCATGTTTGAGACAATGCAAGAAAGTTTAAGAGGTGGAATGATTGGGTTATAATAGTCTTAACCTAAGCAGTGCATTGATTCCTCTGATGGGATTAACTGGGTGGTGACTATAGGCAGGTAGTGGCTGAAGGAGGTGGGTCATTGGGGATGTGACTTTGGGGTATATATTTTATCCCTGGCCTACAAAGTCTCTCTCTGCTTCTTGATGGCCATGTTCTGAGCTGCTTTCCTCCTCCACATGCTTCCAGGACGATGTTCTGCCTTATCTCAGGCATACAGCAATGGAATCAGCCATTTATGGACTGAGACCTCTGAAACTATGAGCCCCAAATAAACTCTTCCCCCTTAAACATTGTTTTTTGTCAGGTCTTTTGGTCCAGTACCAAAAAATCTGACTAAAACAATGTTTTATCAAAAAACAAAAAAAATGGACAAACATATCCTAGCTTGATCTGATGAATGGCCCTAGAAATAAGACCAACCCAACAGCAATGACCAGTAAGGAACAGCAAGGCCTGGATTTCCATCTCTAAATACCACTTCCATTAAAAGGACCCAAGACTCCCTGGAAACATGGATGCTTCTAGGGCTGGTGCCAGGAATATGGTGGCTGGTGCCAGGAACTTACCAGATCAAGCTGGAGTGTTTTGGCATGTCAACAGTAGGTTGAAGCCAAAGGTAACACAATCCGAGTACCAATAAGGAAAATAACATCAGTGGATAAAACATAGATCCTACTTTACAATGATAATAAAACAAAATACCACAGTGATCACTTCATACAATGCTTGGAAGTCATCTCATGATTTGGAAAATTGGTAAATAAAAGGAAAAACTACAAAAGGAAGGAATGCTTTCCAACAGGAACTGTACCTTAATCAAATAGTCGATAGGGGGAGTTTCACGTTTGATAAGTGTGCCAGTCAATAAACAGAGAAAGTACGACAGAAGTAGAACATCATCAATTTTTAAAAGCCGGCTTAATAAATGTATAGAGAATATAATTAATGGCTGCTGAATGTCATACAAAGGGGGACAAGATGCTGTGCACCTCGTGATGGAAATACATACCACTTCTGAGAAAGAAGCCTTACCAAGACTCTCTTTTTATCAGTCTGCCAATTTATAGAAAATACAGGAGTCAGGAGAACATGATGATGACACCACGGGGAAGGGATCGGCAAAGCCTAGATTTCAAGAATCTCTACAGGACAAATGGCCCAGTATCTTCAACAAACGAATTATGTGTGTGTSTGTGGGAAGCCGTTCTCCCTGACTGGGTGTGAGGCGTTCCGGCCAGCTGTGTCAGAACTTATCCCCACCCTTTATCAGGTGCAAGAGCCCATCGGTGTGGGGGTGTGACTGACCATTGACCCTGAAACCAATCACTGACCCTGACCTTGGAATGCTGTCCCCCTCGACCTTCATTGGATGGAATTTTCCCCTGAATTTCTTGTTCCCCAATAAAAGGCCACTCTCTGGCGTGCCCTCCCTCTCTCCTGCTGGTCTCTTGGGTAAACCTCGCTACCCCACCAGGTGGCTCGAGGCAGGAGCCAGGAAGGGCCATCTCTGACCTGGTCAAGAAAAAGGTAAATTGAGTTTATTGAGTTATGTCTTTATTTTGATCTCACTAGTTAACTTCTATGCTTAGGACCTCTAGTATGAAGCTAGCGTGCTGGTCACGCGGCAGATGTCTGTCTGTGTGTGTGTGTGTGTGTGTGTGTGTGTGTGTGTAAGAGAGAGAGAGAGAAGGAGAGAGAGGAAGAGAGAAAAAAATTTTTAATTCTTTTTTTTAATTGTAGATAGACATAATACCTTTATTTTATTTACATATTTGTATGTGGCGCTGAGGATTAAACCCAGCGCCTAACATATGCTATTCGAGAGCTCTACCACTAAGCCACAACCCCAGCCCTGGAGAGGAAATTTATAGATTAAGAGAATCAAGAGACAAATCAGAGGACCTTAAATGAAATGAATAAGCCAAGCACAGAACCACAAATATTGCACATTCTTACTTATATGTGGAAGCAAAAAAGTTGATCTCAAAGAAGTAGAGGATGAACCAGGCGGGGTGGTATACACCTGCAATCCCAGTTACTCCAGAGGCTGAAGATTCGAAGCCAGCCTCAGTAACTTAAGAAGACCTTCAGCAACTTAGCTCAAAATAAAAAGGACTTGTAGCTCAGGGGTAAAGCACCCGTGGTTGATTTAAAAAAAAAAAAAAAGGGAAGAGGAGGAGGAAGAGGAGAAGGAAGAGAAAAATAGAGTAGTGATTACCAGAAGCTGGGAAGATGTGAGACAGAGGGATAACTAACAAGTACAGGAATGCAGTTGGATAGAAGGAATAACTATGGTTGACAATAACTAATTGAATATTTTGAAATAGCTAGCAGAGAGAATTTGAATGGTTCAAACACAAATAATAAATGTCTGAGGTGATGCATATGTCAATGACCCTGATCTGATTATTACATATTATATTAATGTGTTGAAATATTACAGTGTATCTCAAAAAATGCATACACTTACAATGTGTCAATTAAATTCCCATGTAATTTTGCTAGCTATTGCCAAATTTCTCTCCATAGGATCCATTCTATTTTGCATTCCCATCACCAGCACATGAGAGTGCCTCTTTCCCCCAGCCTTTCTAACAGAACATACTGCAGTCAAGCTTAGATTACTGCCAATAAGAAAGGTAATTCATAATTTTAATTTGCATTTCTATCATTACAAGCAGTTGTTTATTTTTTTGTGTGTGTTTAAAAGTCACTTTCATTTTTTTATGAAAACAATGTGTTCTTTTCTTTAGTTCATTTTCTTTATACTTATTAATCCTTATTTTTTTTTTGTACTGAGGATTGATCCCAGGGGTACTCTACCAGTGAGCTACATCCCTAGCCCTTTTTTATTTTGTGAAGGTTTTGCTAATTCCCCCAGGCTAGCCTTGAAATTTTAGTCATCTGCCTTAGCCTCTCAAGTAGCTGAGATTAGAGGCCTGCACCACTGTGCTTGGCTATGCTCACTAGCCTTTTTCAAACAAAAGAGCACACACACACACACACACACACACATGAAATATTGTCTAGTCTTATGCCAACACTTGGGAGCCAGAAATTGCATGGGTCTCCTTTCTGCTTAGTGTAAGGTGAGGCCTAGAGTGCTAGGGAAGGGAGGGGCGGCAGAAGGTTCTGACTGAGAGGCACTGGGTGCAGCCAGTGGGAGAAGCAGCTGAGTTGAGAAGGCTGTGTGGTTGTGGTGGGAGGGAGAAAGCCCTGTGGTGACTGACTTCTTACTTTCTGCCTCTGCTCTTATTTCTAGTCCAGGGCTAGGAAATCTGAGCTCCAGTCCAGGTTTGCATTGCTCAGAGGGATGACTCTGGAGAAGTCTGTCCTCTCTCCTAAGAAAATAGGATCCAAAGGTCAAGGCCAGCCCCAGCAACTTAGCCAGACCCTATCTCAAAATAAAAAATTAAAAGTGTTGGGGTTGTAGCTGAGCGGTAAAGTGCTCTGGGTTCAATCCCAGTACTGGGGCAGGGAGGGGAGGTTATATGTGATAAATAATGTCAAAGGAAGAAACTATTAACTAAAAGGAGATAGGGCCAAATATTTTTCTAGCCCTTGGGCACTTCCTTCACTCAAAGACTTCAGAAATTGGACTTGGTGGGAGTGAAACCAACGCCTGGCTCAGAGCAGCCGCTGCTGAGGTCTCTGGCCAGTGTCRCTTCCAACCACCTACAAGGATGGGGAATATCTTTGCAAACCTCTTCAAGGGCCTTTTTGGCAAAAAAGAAATGTGCATCCTCATGGTGGGCCTGGATGCTGCAGGGAAGACGACGATTCTCTACAAACTGAAGCTGGGTGAAATTGTGACCACTATTCCCACCGTAGGTTTTAATGTGGAGACCGTTGAGTACAAGAATATCAGCTTCACTTGTACTCAACGGTCTCCACGAATATCAGCTTCACTGTGTGGGACGTGGGTGGCCAAGACAAGATCCGGCCACTATGGCGCCACTACTTCCAGAACACCCAAGGCTTGATCTTTGTGGTGGACAGCAATGACAGACAGCGTGTGAATGGGGCCCGCGAGGAGCTCATGAGGATGCTGGCTGAGGATGAGCTGCGGGACGCTGTCCTCCTGGTGTTTGCCAACAAGCAGAATCTCCCAAACGCCATGAACGCAGCGGAAATCACAGACAAACTGGGGCTGCACTCGCTACGTCACAGGAACTGGTACATTCAGGCCACCTGTGCCACCAGCAGGGACGGGCTCTATGAAGGACTGGACTGGCTGTCCAATCAGCTCCGGAACCAGAAGTGAACCAGAACCCCCTCACCCCCTCACTTTTTCTTCTCCGCTGTCGCTTTCCTCACAAGTGGCAAACGTGGGACTCTGTGGTCCTGAGTGCCAGAAGCTGTCTCCATGGGTTGGTCAGTGTGCATCGCACCGTGCTGGACATGTGCAGATGCAGCCTGCAGCCAGGTTTTTATTTAATGTAAAYAGTTTCTGTTTCCACTGAGGCAGTTTCTGGTACTCCTATGCAATATTACTCAGCTTTTTTATTGTAAAAAGAGAATCAACTCACTGTCAGTACTGAGGAGGGATTTAGGCATGTGGGCACCTGGCCTCCAGGAGCTCCTGGGCTGTAGATTGGTGTTGGAATCCATTTGGTGGTTGGTTTTTAACCCAAACTCAGTGCATTTTTTAAAATAGTTAAAAATACAAGATAAGGAGAACACTTGAACACACAGAAGGGAGACTATGCCTAGTGTACAGCCTGAATGCTAGTCCATTGGACCAGCTGTTCCCCTGTGGGAACACAAAGATGGTGACACAAACCGCCATCCACTGCATGGTCCCAGTAGAGACCCCGTGACTCGCCTGTCTTTGGGTCACTTGCATTCCATAGCGTTGTGCTTGTTCTTGTGCTCACACAGTCACCTGGGGGCGGGCTGGGAGAGCCATGGCAGGGGACACGGCCCAGATGCGCCCTTTGTTGGCGTGTGGCCAGAGCAGTAGCCCATGTTCCCAGCACCCACTCACTCTTGCACCTGCTCAGCCCACTGGCAGGAGGTCTGGGTCTCACCAGCATGAGTGCGTGCAACCTGGGAGGGTTGGTCCACTCCAGACCCACAGGTCCTGGAGCACCCCCATCTCCATGTGTGAAGTAGCTTCCTCCCTCAGCCTGCAAGGGTCCTCYGATTTGCCATCGAAAAAGACGACCTCTACTTTTTTCTTTTGTATTTTGATAAACACTGAAGAAGCTGGAGCTGTTAAAATTTATTTTGGGGAAACCTCAGAACTGGTTTATTTGGTGTCGTGGAACCTCTTCATGCTTTCAATACACAATTAGTAATCAACTGTTTTGTATACTTGTTTTCAGTTTTCATTTCGACAAGCACTGTAATTATAGCTATTAGAATAAAGTCTCTTAACTATTAAAAAAAAGAAAAAGAAAGAAAGAAATTGGACTTACCCATATCTCCCATGGCTTGTGTATCCATGTCTTCCTAAGTCCAGTTCTAGAAGTTCATTTTGAACTCTGCTGATCTGCACCTATGTGATCCTCAATTTCCTCATCAGTAAATGATACTCCTCCAACCACTCCACCCCACCCCCTCCCCCGTGGTGTGGGATAAGGAACCCGGGGCCTCCAGCATGCTAGGCAAATGAGCTATACTTCCAGCCCAGATGATTGATACCTTTTGTTTGTTTGGGGGGTGGGGGAGAACCCACCCCCCAAACACATCCCAACCCTTTTTTCACTTTCTATTTCATTTTTTAATTTAGAGACAGGATCTCACTAGTTGCTTAGAGCCTTGCTAAATTGCTGAGGCTGGCTTTGAACTTGTGATCCTCCTGCCTCAGCCTCCCAAGCTACTGGAATTACAGCCATGAGCCACCACGCCTGGCTCCAGATGATACTTTTTAATAGGGTTGTTTTAAAATGCCTAGAGCAGTCCCCAGCACATAGTGGGTGCCCCAGTATAGTGGTGGTGACTACCTTCTTGCTTTCCATCTGCCATCTGTGCTATCCCACTTCATCATCTTGACAACCCTGTGGAGCAAATGCTACCATATCGAAGCTCCTTTTTATAGAGGAAACAAGTGAGGCTCAGAGAGATTAATAGTTTGCTTGGGGACAAGCAGTGGAGAGCTTAGAGCGGCCTCTAAGTGTGACTCTTTCCAAAAGCGAACTCAGTTGACCCCATGACGCTGCACCCAGTGCTCAGGTGCTGAGACCGGGTGAAGACGCAGGTCCGCTGGGGCACCCCACCTCTAGGAGGCGACTCTGTCGCCAAAAAGGAAAGAGATCTGGGGGGAAGGCTCAGAAAACAGCTCAATCACGGACCCGACGCAGAGGACCCAGACCACGAGGCTTCCAGCACGAGCGTCCAGCTTCTCTGCACTGAACCTCCCTCCCTCCCGGAACTCCGCGGCGGCGGGCGGAGGCGCAGGACCCCGCTGCAGTTCCTGTTGTTAACGAGAGGGGGAGCCAGAACCAGGGAAGAGCCGCTGTCTGTCAATACCGTAATTTTCACAGTTGTGCGCACACATGATCTGTCCCCAGGACTAGCGCGATGGTGACTCGGGCCAGAGCCGCGCAAAGAGGAAGAGATTAGGGATACAGGATGTTGTCTATCCTGAGCTACATGGGCTGGATCCGTCGTGAAAGGCTTCTCCTGGAGTCCACTTGCTCCGAGTCTCCCCCAACAGGCGCCTCCCCGCCGTGCTTCCTGCTGTGCTGTTTTCTGAGGTTTTCCGGAAAATTGCCGGTGAGGGTACCGAACACCAGGCCAAGGACTCAAGACCTTGGGGACAGGATAAGGTAGAGGCCTGGTGACGAGATTTAAGTAAATGTGGGATTAACTGCCCGTCTGATTCCCACTACCGTTTCTTCCACCTTCTCCAAGGATCTTCCCCGGGAGCCTCAGGACTTTCTAACTAGGGATAAGAGAATGAGAATTTGGAAACTGCTGTGAGTCCCTTTCAAAGTACAGTGTATTTTAAAAACCTTTAGGAAAGGGAACCGCTGAACTCAAAATGAACTTCTAAAGGTCTAATTTCTGAAACTAACAGGTGGGAGAGAGGTGTTTACCTGGAGTAAAGATGGGCTGACTTGGGCTCCTGGGTTGAGGAGAGGCAGCTTCTGTGATCTGGGTTCCAGAGCAGGGGCAGGGTCCTGCAATTTGGTAACTCTGCTCTGACAACCCAGTGCACCTGGGCACATGGGTCTTGTTCCCAGGCCTCTGGAAAAATGGAGCACATCCAGACATAGTAGTGCAGTGTAATCCCAGCTCCGTGGGAGGCTGAGGCAGGAGGATTACAAGTTTGAGACCAACCTGGGCAATTTAGTGAGACCCTGTCTCAAAATGAAAAATTGAAAGAGCTGAGGAATGTAGCTCAGTGGGAAGGCACCCCTGGGTTCAATCCCCAGTACCCCCCCCCACAACACACACACACACACACACACACACACACACACACACAAAGTGGGTACTGCCATATGCAGTGTCCTTGGGTAGTGCCCAAAGCCCAGGGTTCTGCTTGTGAGACAAAAGGATGGTCATAGGGGGAAGCAAGGCAAAGAGAAAGGAAAAGGGGAGCTGAGAGGCTGAGCCAGTCAGTCAAGGTGTGGGACACCTGTAATCCTAGTTACTATGGAGATTAAATCATAGAAAAAAATCACAAATTTGAGGCCAGCGTGGGCAATTTAAGTGAGACTCTTTCTCAAAATAAAAATTTTACAGAAGGTCTTGGAGCTTTGCCMAGTGGCTGTATCATAATCAATGAAGTTTATCTGAAGCACAATTATTGCTAATTAAAATCTTTTCCCAATATCCCAGTGTGACAACTTGCAATATAGTCAGCATTGGCATTTTTTGACAGTCTCTATGGAGACTTAAAAAATCTCAGAATGTAGCTCAGTGATAGAGGCTTATCTAGCATGTGCAAGGAGGACCTGGGTTCAATCTCTAGGAGGAGAAAGAAACAAACAAAAAGCTCCGAGGCTGGAGTTGGGCAAGACCTTCACCCTGCAGGCCTCAGTTTGTCTGGAATGTAGAGATATTACCTAATGCAAAAGGCTACCTTGAGAACTCAACAAAATGGTGTTCCAGAAAGTGCTCTATAACCAGTACAAATCCTAGGCAGGAAACCTCCTCCATGGAAACTCCCAGGTTACTCCAAATCCAGGTGCAGCTCTTGCCTGGGGCTCCCAGTCTTTGATGCCTGGCCTGCTGGAGGGAACTCTTTTGCAGACCTCTTTCCTGTTCCCCCAACTCCCCCAGAGCACCTAGCCACAATGGAATCCTTGCCAGACTGTGACCTTCTCAAGGCGGAGATGGGTGGCTGATTCATCCCTGCATTCATTCAAAAATACCCCCTGATAAGACTTGGCAAAATGTTACTAAAGTTCATCTAAGAAAAAAAAAAAAAAGCCTGTAAAAACAGACAGCAAAGTTATGAAAACAAACAGCAGTAGAAGTGGAGATGGGAACAGATACTGAAACAATTTGACAGCAGCTATCAGAATTTTTTTTAATGTACATCCCCTTTATGCTGACAACTCCATCTCTTAGAATATGTACTACAAAAAGATAGCAGTAATGAACAAGATTAATGTGTGAGGATGTCTGCTGATATATATAAAATATATATATGTATTTTTTGAACTGTAGGAAAGACCTGGAAACAACCCAAAGGCCCATCAATAGGGGATGGTGAAATAAATTGTGATACAGCCATATAAAGCAATGCTGAGCAGTTGATAAAAACAAAGGAGTGAGTGCTGAGGTAGGAAGAATCACTAAGAGATAGCAAGAGACAGAACAGGAAGTACAGTAGGAGTCCATGTCTTTAAAAATGTTCTCCTACTGCTGCCTTGGAGCCTTCATTTATCAAATTTCCTTTCCCAGTCCCAGAATGACAATCTGGTAGATACTTTTGTTTTACTTTATTTTTTGCAGTCCTAAGGATTTCATGCCAGGCAAGTGGGTCTACCACTGAGCTACATCCCAGCCTTTTTTAAATTTTATTTTGAGACAGGGTCTCACTAAATTACAAAGGCTTGCCTTGAACTTGGGATCCTCCTGCTGGAATTACAGGCCTGTGCTGCCACTCCCAGCCAGTCTATGCCCTTAACCACTCTGTGTCACCTTAGGCTCACAGGACCTTGAGTGGGACTTGTCTTGGGATTTCAGCAGGCGTGCTACATGTCATTAACTAGATATACCGAATTAATAAAATGATTACCCTGCTGATAAACATGTGGATTATTTCTAGTTTAGTGCTGTTGTGTGTGAGCAGAGCTGTGTTGC